CAAACAGAAGAGTTTATGTTTTTTGCCATTCATTCAAACAATTACAACAAATGCAATACTTTTCTGGGAAGTGGTTCTTAAATATGCCTCGACTTTGAAGCCAATCGTATGTATTATTAGTTAAATACCGGATATGACAATAATTTGGACACAAATGTCTGTCTTTGGCCACCAATTGGTTCCGTGTCGGCGATGGCCTCTCGCGAGTCAGTAACGAAAACCATAGTTTGTGTCCACTTTTGAACCTAAAAAAGACAATACAATTACAATACAAGACTTGAGACCAATTAAAGCTAAGACTTAATATGAAATGCAATGCAAATCACACTTCAATTACCGGTTAATAGCGTTTAAACACATGTTTTAGTGACGAGAAAAACACAAACAAAACAATGTTTTTGAAAAACTTATGCAATGTTTTGGTTTGCATTGAGTTTGCGCTCAAAACAGGGCTTCAATTCACGTATCGATTCATTCAGTCATTCATTCATTGATTTGTTTTTGACAAAAATGTTTGCATTTTTCGATTTAAATGTCTATTAATTGGACACAAATTTAGTCGCGATTAATGATTGTCTGAATCGATGGTCACTTGTCTTCGGCCATAAATACGTATTACTTGAGTTTCCGTTGCAAACTAAACTGATTAATACACGACTATAACTAGAGTAAAGACCGGTGAGCACAGTTGAGTAGGCTGCACTCTCCTCAAGGTCAGAAACAAACCTCGGTAGCCATTGTGTTGTCCAGATTTTTGTCTTTCGGCGGATTAACTAATGGATCCATTGACTGATTTTTGATATCATTTCGACAGCCAATCGTCTCAATCGCATGACTCGACACCGAAGTCGACGATCACTCAAATAGACGCCAATGTCTTAACCGATGATTATCTGAAAGAGTGGCCAACAATTGTGGCATTCGTTCAGAAAGGCTTAAGTGTTGAGCAGTTCTCAGTTCCCAATCATTTCCATCGATTGAATCATATATTTGATGACAAAACACTTGATTCGGTACTGAATGTCACTTTAAATGACTTTCATTTTCGTATTGTTTGTTAAAATAATCTCCTTCTTTGCCAGACTTTCTTATCCGATGAGAACTCAGGTATGCTGAGAGAGTTTCTGAAAAGGCAAGTTTTGTATTTGCTAAACTTATATTTATTACCTTTATTTCACTATTATTTAAACGGCTTATTACTTAACTATCTTTTGCTACTTGACTATGGCGATTTGTGGCATAAAATCACGCAAAACGTGTCGAAAGACGCGTTGTTTGTAATAACTGGTCGTCAAAACGCCAACATCTATGACGAAAACGATATACAAGTTAATCATCGTTTCCGTAGGGCTGCGAAAGCGGCCAAAAACGACGACTTGAAGCGATTAGTGTCCGTCAAGTCGTGTCTGTTTTATTTCACGCGCTCTTTGACCGTCACGTACACCACGAGTGAACCGTATTGGCAGACAATTGACACTAAATTTGATTCAATCCCCAAACCCGTGTCGGATGAGTCCAAGTGCTGGGAAGGCAAAGAACCGGCCGTTTTGGACCTCACGTACACGAAATTAGACACCACTCTTAAGCTCACGCTTACGATCGCTAATAAAAAAGGGTATAAAACATATTAATGATAAACCAATGCTTACGATAACTTTGTTGTCATGTTTTAGTGGTTACTGGAGAGTGACTAAAGGCTCGGCGTTTATCCAGACATCGAAATCATCGGACGAATTTACACTCGATGTGAATGAGATCACCGCCGGTGACAAGTTCTCGTACAGCTGTTCCCAATTAAAGATTGCGTCCAAGAATAGTATGACTTTTTTCTAAACATTTTTATTGTGATAAATATTTGATGTTTTGGTTCTGTTTTGTAATTTAGCCTCAAATTCGGCCCAAATTCGTCTCAAATTCAGTGAATTTCAATTACAGCCGTTTGAGAATCCGGTGAACAAGAAAATAGTATTCACTTCCAGCGAGAGCTGTGAAGTGTGGATGACTTTACCACTTTGGATGGGATTAATTACATTGTCTTTGTTGACAGTAATCCTATTGCTTGGTCTGTATTTGCTATATAGAGTCGCAACGCCCGACCGGTTTGAGAATCCAAAGGGAAAGCCATTGATTGTGGCCGCGGCTGACGAACAATAGTCATCTGTT